AAGTAAATCAGAGACATATTTATAGTAATTATGCAGGCAAATTTGCCTGCAAATCTCTACCAATTAAGGGATATATTATAAGTTAGAATTTGAATTTATTTTTAATTTAATAAATTGATTGGTTTTCAAAATTGTTAGTAAAATACATATCTACTATAGTATACTGCCTCTGTTATCTTTAACTTAATCCTCTTTAAATAATTCCAGAGTATGTTATAAAAAAAAATTGTATAAAATCTAGCATTAAAATTTAATAGATTTGGTTAATAATTTTCAAATAACAGTTTTAATGATAGATCTTCAAGTATAATACCTATATTACAATATCTATAGCTTATATACCTATTTGGTTAAATACCTGACTCTCTCTTATTACAAATTTATTATACGTACTATCGTTCATTGACAAAAAAATATATATTATAATGAAATTAATTACTGTTATATTATATAATGAAAATTGGACTTTTTTTAATATATAAATAAGCGATTATTTTCATTTGCATATTTTACTTAAACTTCGTAAGATGGATGAAGAAAATGCACTTGACCAATTTATTAACATACCTCTTTGAGCTTTCAAAATACACTTAGATCCAAAACACTTTCAGAAATAACAAACCATCTCCCAAAACGATTAAAAAAAGATCCTTTCTGGGGCGAACTTGTTGAAATCGGTGATAAACAACATTGCAAACATTGTAATAAACCTTATTCAATGGATACTGGCCTTTCTACTATTAAATCACATTTTAAAACTGGGTATTATTATGTTGGTCAGCAAATAAATTATATGTAGTAATAGATGCAATAAATGGAAAATTGCTGTAATAATAAATAGCATGTTTTATTAAATTGTTCAAACAAGCATAATTATTAATACATTTTGTATAAACCGAATTCAATAACCAGTTTTGTTCGAAACAGTGTTCAAACGAGTTTTGAACAGGATCCAACCGGTTGGAACAGGATAACATCCCTATCTAAGAGATATCTCGGTAAAACAAATGACTGGTGACATTCCAAGACTTAATTACTGGAGACTTCATAGATCGGTCATAACCCAAAACGCATAAACCCTTTATAATTGAGAATAAGATTAATCGTGATCATTCAAAAGTTTAAGAAAAATTAAAATAAAATAAAATAAATCTTAACTGCGGTATCAATAAGAAAAAGTCTTCCATGTTCAGGAGGAAGATTCAACCATCTACAAGCGAGAATTCTAAGTAAATGGGAATGAGCTACCACCAAAACATCACCTCCAGGAGAATTTGGATTATTATCCATATGCTTATCGTAATTAATTAAATTACGCATTAAATTAAAATTACGTATAATAAAGATATGATACAGTAAATAAGGTGATAAAATACATCAGTTTGATAGGTCATAATCTTCGCAGTTACATGATCGCATCGAGTGGCTACTTGTTGAATTGTTTCACCATTAGGACAGCCATCTCTCCTATTAAACGGAAACATCAATTGCATTAATT